GACACAGCAAAAACAGCAAAGCACTCCATCTTCATCGACGTGATTTCTGCGTGGTACATGGAGATGCTCGAAGGCTTCTGCTACGATGTGACAACAGCAACTGTAGCTGCTGGTTATTCACCAGTCATGCGCCTCACAGCGGAAAAAGTATCACAGAAAGGAGAACATGGTGGGAGGAGACCACAAAACTGCTCACCACACATTGTGATCAAGACCCGCTTTTCTGGCTTATGGATGCCAACGCGCCCCCAGGAGCTGCAGATGATACAGTTGTTTTCGAGCAGGGCTTTGCCACCACGACAGGCACACCTCTGTTTCGTGAAGCTCTAGAGGTACAACGACTCTGTCTTCCTGCGACCTCAAAATGCCACGTGGGGCCTCACAATACATGGACAGCTATTGATGGCAAGACAGAGCATTGCATTGACCACATAGCTATCCCACAGTCATGGAAGTCACGATGTACCAGATCTGAGGTGCTCCAGGAGTTTGACATGGCCACCGAAAATGATGATCACCAAGCAGTTGCCCTGCAAATTCAATGGAGTGAATATGTGCAGAGTACACGCAAAAGCAAACGGCCCAGTCTTTCTCTTACTGGAGACATTAGCCACTTCAGCACGGCAGACTTCCGCAATGAACTCATGAATTACAAGCCATCCCAATGGCAGACAGATGCAGAAGCACATGCAGGAGGTCTCATTCAGCATCTTCAACATGCTATGAAAGAACACCTACCTCGCCAAAAAAGCCAAGCGAAAAAGATCTACGTGACAGATGAAGTTTGGCAAATGCGTCTTCAAAAGCTGCTCTGCAGACAGAAATGCAAAGCGCTTAGACGCCAAATTGGCCGTGAAAGCATGACACAATGCTGGAGAGCATGGAAGGGTGACGCATCACAACATAGTTGCAATGAGATTTTCAACTATGGCACAACTCTCCGGTGCTCACAGGTAAAATCTTACAGCAACTTCATCCAGCTCAGGAACCGCCTGAAAAGCGAATTGAAGAAGGCCAAACAACAGATCTTGCACAAGCACCTGGAGACACTGGATGAGCGTACGCCAGCTTCAGATCTCCTTAGAATGCTCAAGCCCTTTATTGGTCCCACAAATATGAAGAAACAGAAAAAGAAGCCACTGCCCATCATTCATGATGAAGACCAACAGCCATGCACACTACCAAATGAGGCTTTAGCAGTGTGGATACGCTTCTTTCAAAACATGGAAGGTGGCCAAAGGGTATCAATGGAGCATCTACGCAGAGATTGGCTTGAAGATCTACAACAACTGCGACAGCAGGAGTTCAAGATTGATCTTGAAGAACTTCCGACTCTGGTAGACATGGAATTGGCACTACGCAGAGTGCCCAGCAGAAAGGCACGAGGACCGGATGACATACCCGGTGAAATCTGCCATTTTCACGCTGACATCTTGGCAGTGAACATGTACACGCAAATGATGAAAATTGCCATACACGGACAGGAGCCGCTGATCTACAAAGGTGGGAAGCTGACACCAGCTTACAAAGGGAAAGGAGATCCAAGACAAGTATCCTCATTTCGCTCCTTGCTTGTATCGTCGCACCTGGGGAAAACCATCCACCGATGTTTGAGACAGCATCAGGCCCAGGCATACGAGCATTTCCTCCAAGCGCAACAGCTGGGCGGCAGAAGAAAAGTGCCGGTCCAGCTAGCCCTCCACCAGGCAAGGGCCTTCCTGCGCAGAGCCAGAGAGCGACATGAGTCGGCTGGACTCTTATTCCTTGACCTTACGGAAGCATTTTACCGTATTTTGAGGGAGCTGACGGTCGGCGGATCCCCTACCGATGAGTTGTTGACATTTGTTATGCATCGTCTTCAGCTCCCAGCAGATTCTTTGCAACGACTGCATGAACTCCTGGATGAACGGACGGCGCTCCAGCGTGCAGGTTTGAGTTTCACAGCCATGAATTGCATCAGAGCGTTGCACCGCAACACACATTTTTGGCTGCAAGGTCAGGAAGATTTGGTGGCTACTTACCTTGGTACCAGACCAGGAGATTCGTTTGCAGATCTGATCTTTGGTTTTGCATGGAGTGTGGTCCTTCAGAAACTCCAGGGTTTCATGGAAGAACACCACAGCATAGTGCACATTCCGGTTCAGCAGCAGCCACCATTTTTCCAGGGAGGTGAGATGATGGATGAAGTTCACCTCATGAAGCCGTACTTAGGCCCTACGTGGATGGACGATCTCTGCCTATGCCTCATTGGCAATTCACCTCAATGCCTTGAACAACGCCTCGGGCCCACCATTGGGTATTTATTAGATCTTTGCAAGCAACATTTGATGACGCCAAATCTCAGCAAAGGCAAAACAGAGCTGCTTTTGAGTTTCCGAGGAACAGGCAGCCGCAAACACACAGTGAAACATTATGGCCCTGTGGCGAGCGGCCATTTTGAGGTTATCTGTGAACATCAGTCACATCGAATTTCTATTGTGAAATCTTACCGCCATTTGGGAGGTTTGTTGCACCACACCAGTGATCAAAATAGTGAAGTGCGCAGCAAAGTAGCGACAGCACATCAAGCATTCAATCAACACAGGAAACTGTTATTTCGCAATGAGCACATCCGGCTGGACAAGCGCACGGAGATGTTCAACACCCTCGTCATCACGAAATTGATGTATGGGGCAGATTCCTGGATTGCGCATGATCTTAGGACGATGCGAAAGTTTGAAGTGGCTGTCATCAAGCTTTACAAACGCCTTCTGAGATGGAAACATGATGAACACCACACAGAACAACAGATTCTTGCAGCAGTGAAGCAGCCAGCTCCGTTGGTGCTCATGCGTCGAGCGAGATTGCGTTATCTGGTGGTGCTTTTTCAATGTGGAGTACCAGACATTTGGCATCTCCTTGGAGAAGACTCACATTGGATCCAGCTCATTGAGGAGGACATGGTATGGATGTGGACGCAGTTACACAATGCCTCGCATTTACAAGATCCGCGCACACATTTCGGGCAGTGGCAAGGTCTTCTACAGCACCATCCCAAGTACTGGAAGAGACTCCTCAACAGAGCCTGCTACCATGACATGCTGCAAACTCAGAAGCAACACCAAGTTGTGGCGGCACATGAAAGAATTTTCAGCAGATTGCACGAAGAGCATCCATCATCATCAAGAGATGTACCAACTACCCCAGCAGCTGAACCCATGGCATCAGTCTATGGGTGCATGCAGTGTCAATTCAAGTGCAGAAATCTGGCCGGTGAGGGCGCCCACATGTTTAGACGTCATGGACAGACATCAATCCTGCGAAGCCACATCGATCAGACGCAATGCAAAATTTGCCTGAAGGAACTGCATACGTACAGCAAGATGAAAGCTCATCTGTACTATACAGAGTCCTGTCGGAATGCCATATTGGCAGAGCCATGCGTATCATCGCCAGCGCCGGGGATTGGATCACACGTAGATCGCGAATTGGTCCACCAACATGATAGATGTCTCCCACCGCTACAAGCAGCGGGACCAAGGCGACCTCTTGGACGACCTCGTGAATTCTTTGACATTGATGAGGAGATGCACATGTTCATGGTTGATTATTTGGCCGAGCATGGCGAGACACAGATTGACCCACAAGCCTTCGGAAGTGCCGTCCGTGCGTGGTTGTGTACACATGCAATCTCATGGACACGCACACAGACCACGGTCATTTTCTTCCGCAATTCGCTCAATGATGAAGATGCAGCCTTTTTTCATTTTGATTTGGAGCGACTGGACGAAGAATTGAGAAGCTTACGGGATCCCATGACGTGGCCTTTCCTGGCTTCCAGTGCAGGAGTCAGTGAGGGTACAAAGGACATTGAGCAGTGCAGCCGCGAATGTCAACGATGGACAGATTGGTGGGAGCTGCAACCCCAACAGACCATACCAAAGCAATTTGGTCGCATGAGGATCGTTTTGCATGCGTTTGCGGGCAGACGAAGGGTGGGCGACTTTCAATATTTCCTGGAACGAGACCTACCACCGGATGCCAACTACACGCTGATCGTAGTATCTTTAGATATTGTGATCAACCAACAATGGGGAGATGCGACTCGCGAAGAGACACGTCAGCTGTGGCTCACAGCTATCAGGAACAGACATGTCATCGGGTTTGTCGCCGGACCGCCATGTGAAACCTGGAGCAGAGTGCGAGGGCTACAGAGCTCTCCAGCAGACATCGATGCGGCGCCCTGCCAACCTCCACATGCACGCGGACCTCCCAGAATCCTGCGCACTTTGACTGAGCTTTGGGGCATGAATTCGTTAGGCATTAGAGAGCTCAGTCAGATTCTGACGGGCAATAGCCTTCTGCTTTTCACGCTTGAAGCCATCGTCGAAATTGCGATGGCAGGGTCAGTAGGACTGCTGGAGCATCCAGCTGAACCAGAAGACCTCAAAGAGGCAGCGTCCATTTGGCGCCTGCCCTTGATGCAGGTCATTTATCGAATGCCAGGAGTCGAACGTGTGCGATTTGCACAGGGCCTGTTAGGAGCCAAAACTGTCAAATCGACTGAATTTTTGTGTGTGAACTTGCCGTCCATTTTGTCTTGCTTGCATGCCAATAGAGTGAGAACGGAGCTCCCTAAGGGCCAATCAGTAGGACGCGACGAGCAAGGGAACTGGCGCACATCAGCCTTAAAGGAGTATGCACCATCCCTTTGCAAGGCTATGTCAGATGCGATCCGTGTAGTTTTTGACTCTTGTGATGTCACTACTGGATCAGAGGTGCCTGAGCATTTAGTTACCATCTGTAGGGCCATGCAGGTTCATACTTATGGTGAGGCCTTTGGACCAGACTATGCCAGGTAACCACAGCACAGTATCACAATTTTTGTGTTCCGGAATTCATTGAGCAGAGCCGCAGCGTGACAGCAGCAAAGAGCTCCTTGGAAAAAAATATATATATATATACACATACAATATATATATATATACATACAATATATATATATATATATATCAGATCATTCACATTGTATTCCCATCCAACAATGCTAACAATGCTATAAAACAATGGCTCACTTGCGATCCACCCACCCCACCTGCAGCCGAGGTCACTCCAGCGTGCAACTCTCCGGTTCCGCAGTTCGGCGGGTTGTGACAGCCGCGGTTCACGATGCCAGAGGCACCGTTGATGAAGGAGCTATCGCCGGTGTTCATGCCATTGTCCACCCACTTCTTCCTGAGATGACAATGATGCGTGACTACAGTGACTATTTATAGGATTTTTGGAGTTAGAACGTAGATACACATATGTGTAAACTTTGTGTACAAGTATATAATAGAATACTCATATGCCAATATGGGAGATTCAACAGGACATTCGAGTTGGTAAATGGAGGTAAATTGTTGAAAACTTGGTGTGCCGACATGAAGTGATGATTCCTGAAAATCCTAAACTGCCATGGGTGTATAGGTGCAGGGACAATCAATAAGTATATACAAGTGGTTTAAGTGTACCACTGGGTGTAGTTATAGTATGCTATACCTCCAAGAATCTGTCCCATTTAGCGGGAGCTCCAGGGATAAAATTGAGAAACTGTGATTTTGATGGGAAATGACCGACTGCTCAGGATATTTTTTCAAGTGGGATAGAAGCTGGAACGGACAACACGACCAATCGTTGGCTCTTGTGACATGGACATAGACCTCAATTCCGAAATTTCGATCTTAGAAAGTGTGTATGTCTTCCAAACATGTGCTACCTGCACTGCTCGATTGCAAATTTGGGCTTGTCTGTTTTCACAGAGTACCCTGAAATTTGATGGATGACGATCATTTTCTGTAGCAAAATCAACATATTCGGGTATACTTCAGGTCAAATTTCCTATACAAGACCTCCTGTAACCTCTTGGAATTTACCAGAATTTACCACGTCCCTCAGGCATCGTCAAGTGATGACCCTGCTAAAAAGGGATTCGAACCGGCAGAACACATATGCCCAGAATCAAGCTGAGGAATTCCCGAACTAAATGAAGGTCTTAGTGGAAAAATCATCTGATATAAATGGGGAATTCCAGGATCCTAAAATGGAGGTACTGTACCATATAAGGCCATATTTTACTGGGATATTCCCTTACATTATGGCCATTGATGATATAAATGGGGAATTGTCCATTGCCGTGTTTGAGTACCGGAGGGTAACTCGAGGCAAGTGACTCAATTGACTCAATTGATTCAATGATTTCTGGATGTCCGTGTTATGTTGACTGACCCGATGATCCAAGCGGCAGTTCACTGATGTAGTTCCAGCCACCAGAATTGTAGGGTTGCACTGCATTGAGCCAGTAAAACATACCTGTCATCGCAGGCCGGGGAACCTACTGTATATATATATATATATATTGTATATATATATTGTATATATATATACATTAATCTATTCCATACACGGTCTATTTACCTAGATCTGGGTGATTCTTTAAAGAATCCATCTTTAGGTCAACAAACAGAATAAGTTAATATTCATCACAACAAAAACACACATGACAATAATAATATACAATAACAAACATGATAACAATAAACAACTTATAGCTTATATTCATTTATATTCATGATAATAATAACAACAATTCATGCTAATAATAATAATAATAAAGCACATGATAACAATAATCAACTCATACTAGCAATGGTGATACATATCACTGCGATAATCATATTCTTCCTCCATACATGCGCCAGCGAAACTGGGCGAAACTGTTTATTCCCTTCTACTGGTTGGTGGATTGACAACATTCCCAGTGGATATATTCAATATGTAGATCAGTTCGTATAACCGAACTAACAAGAACAATGACTGACTGGTTCAATTCCATCCCAAGTTCGCACTATTTTGGGTGCTTAAATCTTGTTTTTTTTTGTCAACTGAGACATGACCATGAATTCAATCCCCCAACAATTCTAGCAAATATCCCCTCCTCAGTCAAACATATCCTCCTTGGCCACTCCAAAAAGATACAGCTATTGCCAGAACATACCAGAACCATTCAGAACCATTCAAAACCCCTTCATTTTCTTGGCTAAACCATCAATCAAACTTCCATTGTTTCACCGCGGTGCCGGCCACCCACTTCAGTTCAGCTGGACTGTTCGGATCGCAGATGGAGTTGGGATTTTTACCTGAGGTTCCGGAGTCGGATTCCCAAAACAAATAGGATGACTCATAAACTATAACAAGTAGAAGTCGGAGTGGATGTTCTTTTTGACATGTATATATATATATTATTATTAAGTAGTATATATATATATAAGTTATATTGTATAATATTATATAGTTCTAACAGTGGGTTTAAGTGGGGTTCTTTAACTGGGGTTTCAGACATGTGGTTCTTCGACTATTTTGCGGGACTTGGGTCTTCTTTTCAGATTGCTGAAACGCGAACACATGCATGTTCGAGGATAGGGGTTTCCTTGTGGCATGGAGCTAGCTGCATCCTGCAACCAGGACGTTGGCCCCATGTGATGCAAAGAGGACTAGATGGTTCCACTGGACCGTAAGTCTACTGCATTGTACCTATCCATATTCCCTGTAACCCCAATGATATACCTGCCACACTTTGCAACTTTGTCAACTTTTCTCATTGCTGGCAGAGCACAAAAGTCGATGGAGGGATAGATAGAGCTACGTCCCTCGTCGGCTGCTCGCTTGCCCATGTAGAAATTCAACCTGGAGTTGCGAAAAACCGTCCAAATCCTTGCAAAAGAAGGCGAAACTCGGATACAGCACCCTAACGGCCCTAACCAAAACATATTCATTCTTTGCTGTATGAATTACCCCACACATTGATAGCAAACAGAAACCCATTGATTGCCACGGGATCATGGAGTAAAATGCCCTGCATAGATCCAAAGTTGGCTAATCATCACGGTCATCACAAGCACATGCCGCAACAATTCATGACAGTCACATAAGCCTCAAACCTTTTCTTCCAGAAAAATGTGTCATCGTTACCCGGTTGTCCCTTCAGTCTCAGTTAAGGCCATCCGGATGAACCAATGTAGGATCACACAACACCATCCCATAATGGGAATCCTTGCAATGGGTTCATATAAGAATTCCCTCTTAATGTGTTGATGACCATCCCCAAAGATGGGTAATTATGTAAAAATATGTACAATCCAACTTTTGACGCGCTCCATGTGGATATTTTCGCTCACAAACTGCCCACGGGTGGCGGGTCCAACTTTTGACCATGGCACTAATATGACTTATCATACTATCCAGATCTCTAGGCCAGGCAAATTACCTGGAAATCTTGGACTCACGTTGTTTCCTCAACCAAGGAACTTGCCGAAGTTGCCTCGGCAGCAACTTAAGGGGGAGTTGAATTCTCAGCAATACAGGTGTCTTAAAATGCGGTATACCCATGTATACCGTATACCCATCAAATATTCATTCTTATGCGAAATACAATGATTAAATATGTTTTTTTTGCATCATCCCATTTGGGGGTACCACATTTTTGGATCCCAAAATGGGGTGTTGGTACGTTGTCATCCAAGTTATTGGCCGTGCATTCCTCGATTCATGCCGAAAAGAAGCGTATGAGTGTCCAAATAGAATTGCTCCAAAAACACTGTGGTGGTTATAACATAATAAATAGTGTTAATCATGGTATGTTTGCTTTTTTGCATGAAAAAGGATAACAAGCCTTAAAGAGCATAAAGAGCCATGTTCTGACTTTTTCAGGCCTTCAAATTGCCGATTGGGGGGTGCATCCACCATGAGCCATTTTTTGTGACTCTGCCCCAGCAATGGCCCGAGCAGGTACACCTAATTGATTCAAATTGGATGTCCGACGTCCCCTTTTCTGTCAGAAGTTCCAAACCCTCCGAGATATTTTGGTTCACATAGCATATGATGCTATCTGGCAATTCACCATGTTGAAAAACGGTAAATCGTGGAACTATTCATAGACCATGTTCCATGATGTGGGTTCTTCTTTCCCACGTTCTCCCCTTTAGTTTTTTTTTGCCATTCAAGTTTATTAAAAAAAACAAATCCAAAACTTTGGTTCAGAAGCATACAGCAGATTCCCATATATTCCCATCAATGCTCCATGTCACCCACTTCACCTCAGCTCAACTAGGCTCAGCCTTTACCTCGCCATGCTACAGGTGCCAGTTGTTTGGATCACCCCGCGGCCCCACCAGCAGCAACCTTCCACATCTGTTCGGCCATCTGGTTGACCTTGGCAAATACTGTTTGAGGGTGAAAATAAGACTGTTCCGTGTCACGTGCCTGTCCGTTTTACTGACTAAATAGTACGGAAAACAGCTAGCATCAGCTAACCCAACCAGCGCGTCTCAGATCCATTTCCAGTAAAAGTTACTATGTTGCCACTGGACGTCTACCCAATCCTGGCTCAGACTTCAAAACGGAATTTGAGTTTCCAACAGATCAACATTTACGTGTCACTTCTGTGGCTTAACAGCCACAGTTTTGGATACCTACCGTCAGAGTCAACGATTTTGGATTCGTTCCCACTCCGGAAAATGATCTTAATTCAGATGTCTACTGTCAATAAAGTAATGGAAAAAGCAAGTTCCCCTCTACTTAAGCACATCATTTCTAGAGGGCTAGTTTGAAACCAAAGAAATGGATTGACCGGTCATTCAAAGCCAATCCAAATCAATCCCAATCAACCCAATTATCAACCCCATGTAGAAGTGTGTCCCAAAATTCCTGTGGTGGGCTATCATCTGTCCCAGTACGAGAACATAAAATGATGGTTCAATATGGTTTAATCATGTTTAATCTGTTTCTTGGCAACCCGCCATATTGTTGCTTACATCCCATGTATCTGTATATCGATTCAGTAGACTCAGGAGATCACACGAAATCCCTCTGCTTGGTTCGGTTCCTCCTTCCCGTCTCCAAAAAAGGGCCCAGGCACCAAAGAGAGGAGCATCAGAACCAGGACAAGCGCCATCCACCTAGGAGCAGATGGGCAGACTTCGGAGGACCTGAACGATGCGGGCTCTTGTCTGGTGCACTGGTCATATCAAGTCGTCTCTGTGGGCCACAAATGGGGGTTTCCTAAAATGGGACCCCGAAACCATTGATTCCCAGTTGTTTCTCGGACCTTGGTTCCTCTAGTGCACCATCCATCTGCAAGCAAACATCCAGGAGCAGCCTGTGAAATCTATCCCACATATTCCAGCATTTACGATGTGTATGCTCACACATTATAGTAACCACTCCAACATGTTGATATGCAATTTACCACAAAGAAAACGTAGTTGTGTATAATTTATATATTGTCTTTTCGTGTTTCGCAGGTATATACTTTATTTTTGCGAGGATTACACATTATATGTCTATAATATGTATATAATATATATATATATAAACCATTCAGGAAAAAACACGAAGCCATGAGGTTCTTCCAGCTCTGTGCAAAACCCGCTTGATGTCATTCCATTGAATCCAGGTATGATGACAATCTCCATGATTGGATAGTATAACTTCATGGTCCCCAAACTATACAATCATCAACCAACCATCCATATCCATTTATCAACTATTTCAATTATATATATATATCATTATATATCATACATTACATATTGTATACATATCTATTGTATATACCATCTGCTTATTTAAACATAGCCATGGAAAAGCACCATTTTTATCCATTTTTCATAGGTAAACCATCTATTTCGATTAGGGCCATGGCTTCCATGGCGTCGCCAAGCATCGCAGCCAGAGCCCGTGAATTTCCAGCCCCCGGTCTTGATGCCCTGATAATCCTTGCAGCCTCCACCTTGGGGGCTGATTCAGAACACTAACCCGCAAAAAATCATGAGAAAAACATATGGAAGTTGGTAAAATCCAACTTAAATGATGAAAAAAATGTGGCAAATATCTCTGTGCTGTTTAACTTTTTGGGGAAAAACTCTGAATCGGAACGTTACCCACGTGACCACACATGAACTGTATTGCACCTGTGGCAGTTCACAAACTTAGATTACGAGTAGCAGCATACATTCCCCCTCCATGACGATGCACCTTCTGCATCACACCGTACAAATGGCAGCTGGACAAATCTAAACATCATTGGAGGGGGAAAACGGCATAGACTAACAAACTAGGCTGAACTTCAGCTGCTTTCATTGATTGTCTATATATATATACTAGTAGATACTGTATGTAGAGAGATCGCCGAGATAACCTGTATATAATCAAAGGAATAACAAACACAATTATCAGTAGACCTCCCAGGGAGGTTTGGAAGTTCTTGTAATTCTTTTGTTTTTTTCAATTTACTATACATCTATACATCATAACCATCATACATATCTACTGTATGTACATATATACACATCTACTGTAACTCAGTAGATAACTCAGTAAGGGACACCGGCCGCGGGGCCTTCGTTGACGTATTGAAAGTAGGTGTCCAGGTCGACATCATCCGGAAAAGGGGCCTCATAGCCATAGCCACCTGGCCATGGCGATCCTTTCTGGTGATTTACCCCATGGAAACTCGCTGCAACTGACAACCAAAGGCACTCAAAATACGTTGAAGATTGGTCATAGGTAGGTTTGAGGTAAGAGGTTGCAAACTCAAACGGTTTGAGATTAATTGTACCGTTTATGCATTTATGAATGGGATTTGTCCGTAGTTACTCCAGCCCGAAACGCTAATCCCAAGGAACATCCAATTGCTGATTGCCTCCTCCCCTGAACAAACTGCTCAACAGGTTTTGCGCGGCGCAGACTGGCCAAGTTTGGATCAAACATCATGGCCTCATTCAGGATATTGGGTTGGCTGCATTCGCTTTGAGGCCAGCGGCTAAGTCATCTTGAGGCCCTCCAATTAGTGAGCAACTTGTTAACCCCAACGGCCCTGACTTGCGCAATGACGTTGATACCTTTCATGTTGGTCGCAACAACCAGCTTTGGGACACCCATGACCATCATGACCGTGTTTTAGCAATTGATAGCGCTCCAAGTACGCCAAAAAAAAATATATAAGGATTGTCAGCAAGCGATGTGGTTCTACCATCCCAAAAACACCAACCAGTTCTTCTCATCTCTTTGTATTCCATGTTTCTATGTCCGAATAAATCATCCAGCTATCCACTAAGGCCACCTCTGCAGTTCTAGGTCGTCCAAGGCAAAGCCGGCAAAGCCCAATGGCCCAGGTAATCTACATTGGAGGTACCACGAAAAAAAACAACTATTTTCTGCGGCGAAATTCAGGGAATCCCCCAAATTTTATCAAAGTTTATATGGTACTACCCACTGGTTATTTAACATAGCCATGGAAAATGACACATTTATTAGATGGTTTAACTATTAAAAATGGTGATTTTCCATGGCTATGTTAAATAACCAGAAGGTAAGTTAGTACATCCATTTTAGGATCCTGAAAATCCCAACCGACACGGCGCACCTTCCTGTGGGCACCAGGGGCTACTGTAGTCCCACCTTGGCGCCTTGGGCACCTGAGAAATTGCTCGCTTGATTTGACCAAGGTATGGCTTACCTATGGCTCATGTATGGGATATATATATATATATTATATGTATATATATATATATGTTGGCGATGATATCGTCCAAACTATGACCCGTGCAGCGCAGCAGCTCCTCAGGTTTTTCTACCTTCTGCTCGATTGGGGATTGATCCAAACGGCAGCTATTGATGTGGCCCTTCGCAAAATGAAATGCACAAAAATTGAATGTCAAATGAAATGCTGACATGTGAAGTGCAACTGATATGAAATGCAGCACTCCCCCTCAGCTTTAACGTCAGTTTGAAGCTGACATTCTTCATCTGGTGCATCCTCCGGTGGAGTGATGCTTTTTCCGGAAAACTCAAAACGCTCAAACTGCCCATTCTTCGATTCTTTCAGCGCAACGAACGCACAGATTGATTTGGATGGCTTCTCCACGATGAGGGCACTGGAAATCCGTATGAAATCTTCCAGCATATCCAGAATTCAGCACAGGGAAACCAGGAGGAGGTCGCCCACGAGGCGCAGTCACCAACCTGCAAGTGGTGCACCATCTTGATGGCCTCGCTGGTCCAACTCTGGGATTGGTCAAGTAGGGGCACTGATGGGAAAGATGATATGCCTTCCCATATCTTGTGGTCAATACCCCAAAGCCAGGTCCTTCTGCATCTGGTTCATCCTCCGGTGGAGTGATGCGCAACCTTTCTCTAATCTCTGCGACTTCGGCCTCGATGTTCTGCAGCTCATTTTCGATTCTTTCTCCTAAGCTGTCACTGGACTCTTCTGAGCTGCTAGTGCTTGAAACTTCTGTTTCTTCTCCCCTGTCATTTTCTTCTCTTTCATTTTCTTCTCTTTCATTTTCTATTCCTTCTTCACTGGGAAGGAATTGTGGGCGCTCCACCATCTCGGTGGGCCCTTGGCGGGGTCGTCGAGGTGGTACATCGTCTGACTCACCACCTCTCTCCCGCGGCTGGAGGCGGACTGGGCCTGAGCCCAACCCCTTCTCAACAGCCGAAGCCCAACCCCTTCTCAACGGCCACGGATGGGAGCTGGACTGAGCTTGAGCTCAACCCGTCCTCACCACCCCTTCTTCCCATTTTTTCTCCTCTGACTTCAGGGCGACTTCCAGTCGCTTCAGGCGAAAGATTCTGACGCCTTGCAATCTGTACTCCAACCTTCCAAAGCCATTGGACGAAGAGCGTCAGCAGCACCATTAAGATGGCAAAAACTGCCAACATGGATTGAAGGGCTTGATACCCTCCTTCTTCTTCTTCATCTTCTGAATCTCCTCTAGCCACTGCCAAAATGGCAATTGTGGTAACCAAACGAATCATGTCGTCGCTGACCTTGATGGCTTTGGCCAGCGTCTCACCTTTTTCTTTCTGTTCTTCATCTTTCTCCTCCTGTTTGATCTCCTCTTTCTTTGGTGGACTTCCCATCATCATCATCTCTCGAAGCGTCTCCAAACGTTTCGAAGACAAAGGTTTGGTGCCGATGTCGGCGGTCAAAAATTCGCCCGGGGAATGGTGTATCACCCATCGCCCAGACAGCACAGTCTGTCGAGCGTAAGACGCCCGAGTTCTAAGGTGTCTCGTGCGCCAGTTGCCTCCATCCGTTGTGATGATCGCCAATGCAGACTGGGAGTCAGTGAAGGCTCCACGTGGCACATATCCAATCAGCTCATCCACAATGGCTGCCACAGACTCACCGGCGGTCATGGCCTCCACCAGTTCGGCCAATTCGGCCTCTGCAGTTGACAATGTCACCAAATGTTGGCGGCCGGCTCTCCAAAAAATCGGAGCTCGATTCAAGGTGATGATGAAACATCCAAAAGATTCTTCATCGTTGGGGGCATAGCTGACATCTGAGAAAACTTGTATCTTGATTGGTTCTTTCTCATCATCTTGGTAGCGGAGCCCTTCTGCACAAGTTTTCAGAAGGTATCCTTGAACTTGATCAGCTGCCTCAAGAACTGAGCTGGTGGCTTTTGTGACGTTGGAGCCCAGCCTTGAGATGCTGTACATGAGGTCCGGACGAGTTCGCGTCAGAACCCAAAGCAGTTCACCTACCACTTTCTGACATTTTCTGACTTTCTCCAAAGTTGGTGGACTTGGGTCCAAAGTCATCAGAGCTTGGTCCCGAGTGATTGGGATCTTCTTTGGCTGAACTTCTTTGGCCTGCCGTTTCACCAGGTCCTTGACAAAGGATTCTTGGGTGACATGCCAAACATCTCGACCTTCGGCATTCTTTGAGGTTGACACTTCCATGCCAAGGAAGCGAATGGCTTCCTCCCCCACGACTTCTGGTTCTGACGTGGTCCAAGTCGCTTGGAACTTCTGTGCCACCGCTCTGGTGACTTCAGGGGGGCCAGTGATGAAAATGTCGTCTACATAGGTCATGACCAAGCCATACTGAATGCTTGGCTCGCTTCCTTCTTCTTTTCCAACTTCTTCCAGACGCCAAAGGTTTGGCTCAGAATCCAGCTGCCTCAACTGCAGCTTGATCTTTCCTCCTTCTTTCTTTTCTACTTCTACTTCCAAACTTCTCATCTCGCTATCTCTGCAAAGTCCCCACAATCTTGGAGATCTTCTCAACCCATAGACCGCTCTTTTTGGCCTGTAAAGTGTTCCAGGTCGCAAGCAGCCTTTCTTGACAAAGATGGTAGGAGGAGCGACCAGGATGTAGTTGGATTGATCCTCCTGGTCAATGACGGCGTTCAAAAAAGCCGTACGGATGTCCAATGACATGCCCAGCCATTGGTTCCTCGCAGCAAACCACAGCATGAGTCTGAAAGCTGTGGCATCAGCACCTGCACTGTAGGTCTGTTCATCATCTCTTTTTTCCTCGTAGTTTCCACAGATGACCCATCTCACCTTGTGTTTGGATCCACCCGGAATGGGCTTTTTGGAGTACACCACCTTTGATGGGATGCACTCAAACTTGATGCCCTTCTCCTTCAACCTCTTCTCTATTTCTTTTACCTCCTCTTCTGAAACTTCTTCCAATGCTTCTTTTTCTTCCAGCATAGAGTTGATTTCGCTTTTTGCAGCGGCTTCCCATTCTTCCCAATGCTCCCAAACTTCTTTCGGTGAGATGATCTTGGTCTGCAGGATCTCCTCGGAGTCTTCCATACTTTCCACAGCTTTGCGCAGTCTACCAATCACAGCCATCTCATCCATGGCTGTTTCCTCATCATCTTCAACCATCGCTCTCATCTCTTCTTCGATGATTCTTCTGATTCTAGCTTTGACCTTCCACTTCTCTGTCTCCTCCTCTTCTTGTGCTTCCATCGACGCATCCAATCTTCTCACTGTTGTTTTCTCCCTCAGCCTTCTTCGTGTTGAAAGATCATCCAAAATTTGGGTTTCAAGGCCAACCCAAACACCATGTTGTACAGGCTCTGAAGTCTGTTTCATCAAAACTTTGGCGATTCTTGGAGCCTCGCCTTCTTGCCACACCCAATGACCATGTTCTTCAACTGATGGGCACAGATAGCGGACATGTTCCACCATCGGATCAAAACTTCCCCTCCTCCATGTCCTCTTCCTCACTCTTACCTCCTCCAAAAAGGGTGGAAAAGAAGGAACTTGGTCGAGGCGAACGCATCGGTTGATTTCGTTGATGTATCGCAAAGCCCAAGGCCACCAATCAGCTTGGACCTTGGCATGGTGCAAGACTCGCCTGATCTGAGTCTTGATGGCTTTGACGGCCACTTCTGCACGGCCGTTGGCTCTGGGGTCATCGCCAGCAGTGCGACTCAAAATGATGCCTCTTGATGATGCCCATCTTCTAAACGATCCAGAAAACTCGTGGCCTCTGTCGGTGTGGATCTTGGCAACTGTAAATCCATCGACCTTCAACTTCATGAGCATGTCCATGGTAGTGGATGAAACTTCCCTCGCAGTTTTGGTGGTCATGGGAAGTGCCAGACGAAAAATTCGAACTTCCGTTTTTTCTTCTAAATCTTCCCTTCTTTCCTCATCTCTCTGCTCCCCCTGACCTTCTTCGACCTGCACTTCTGCCTCCTCTTTTTCTTCCGCTTCTGCTTCTCTAGCTTCTTCTATAGCTGGTTCTTCTCCTTGGAGTTCTTCATCTGGTGGCTGGCGCATTTTGTCAGAGTCTTTTGGAACACGCCACACCAAAACGCCAGTCAAAAACCAACGTGCGGTGTGAAAGGACCAGCCACATCCAGAGACAAAGTGCCAGTTTGAAGATGCCGGGCTCGGCGATGAGGTTCTTGTTGTTGAAGGGTTTCCTGACATGTCTTGCAGTCTTTGCGATAGGGAACGTGGCCAAATCTGATGTGATCCTCCCAAGACATAGGAGCAATCCTTGCATGTGATTGCATGGTCTGTTCTTTGATGGCCACAGCTAACATCCGCATCAGACCAGGTGGCCACCGAGCAAGATCTTTTGACGATCGAACTCCCCCAGGACAAACAGGACCTTTGATTTGAAAATCTTCTGGAACCAAATCAAGTGAAGTTCCCAAAGTGGTGGGTTTCGTGGCTTCCCCACCCAAGCTCTTTTGTGTGAAGTGCGTCTCCTTCAACTCAAACTCCTTTTTAATTTCATGCCATTCCCATTGATCCCAAAATGAGACAACTTCAGGCTTGTACTCTCGTGGTGAAGATGGCTGCTCAAGCACAAAAGCCAGTGGATGATCATGCCCTCGAGCTCGTCGAGCATATGTTGCAATCATGAAAAGAAAAATTTGACGCCACAAAAGGATGTCATCCTCTTCCACCATTTTCTTCTCTTTTTCACTCAAATCTTTCTTCCCATACTCCTCTCCTTTCCATGCTCTGACAGGCCGAGGTGCAGTATCACATCCAGGAATCTCATAGTGCCTCAAGACACTGCGAGAGCGGCAGTTTGGCCCGCCCGCAATTCCCAAGATCTTGCCCTGGATGGCTGCAGTGATCAAAGACGCGTAGATGCCGTCGTCAGGAATCATGTCATGTTGGCTCCCTCTTTTAACATCTACTTCCAACAAAATTCTTTCTTCTCCCCCACACTGTTTCCAGGCCTTTCCAAACGTGAAGCCTGAATCTTCTCCAGCGTAGAGATGTAAAAGCAGTCCATCTCTTTGCATAGCCCTCCTCCATCTCCGATTGCAAGGAAGACCATTCCAATCACCTGGTTGCACTGCAAGTCGCTCTTTGATGTGATCAGGTAGTTGAGCGAGAACAGGATGGGCTTTGACCATGGCTTGCAGCCATTCAAATTCATCGCTCATCTCAAGACCTCTCTTCAAACCTTGATTTGCATCTTCCAATTCTGAGATCAGGTCCAAAGCCAGTTGACGACTGACTTGAGGGCAGCCATTGTGCTGCGAAACTTTCAAATCACCTCGTAGTGGATGTCGTATGGAGAGCTTTCCATCCTTCCATGCAATCTCGCACCCAAGAACTTCTGCAAGGGGGCCCATCGGAACTATCGGTTCCACCATTGGGTCAGGAGAGATCATCGCTCCTCCAGGTGACATCTTCAATTGAATCCTTCTTCCATCTGCCAAAGAGACTCCCACGACTGGGAAGCCAGCTGTCACCTCTCCGTTTTTCTGTGGTCGAAGAGGATGTGTCGCACCAGAGTCAATGAGACCAGCTTGATCTCCTGTCGCCATCTTTTGAAGCCTGAGAACTTTTTGTTTCTGCCTCAGGGAGTTCAACTGCTGTTGAAGTCTTTCCATCAAATCTTCTTTTCCTTCTGAGTCCTTGGCCAATCCAGAGCTGGCAGAAGACGCCGATGAAGATGGAGCTCCTGAGATGCTTTTCAGCACCTATACTCGCCTCATCTATCAAGTCTTTCATAGCGGAATCTTGTGTCGATGCCGCTGCTTCTTCAGATTCTTTCTTGCCTCCAACCTTCTCTTCCTCAGTCTTCAGCTGCTTCGCTTTTGGGGCAGACTTTTCTGGGGAGGTTGAAGACGATTTCGGTCGTGTGCAGCTTGGTGCTAAGTGTTGTGAGCTGCCGCACACGTAGCATCTCCTCAATTCGTCTCGCTGTTCATGCGACCACGTACACTCGCGGCCTTTTCTGCATCCACCTTCAGTCAGGTAATACCTGCATTTCTGTTTGGACTTCTCTTCATCATTCTTTTCTCTGTCTCTTCCCTTTCCCTTGCCCTTCTCTCCTGCCTCTGCCTCCATGTTCTTCAGCTTCGGAAGTTCTACCTCCTTCTTCGCCGTTGTGGTTATTGATCTCTTGTCAGTCATCGCACATTGTTCAAGTTCAGCAAGAAGATGTGCAGCAAGTTGGTCCACCGAAGATGAAGTTGGAGTTGTGTCCACCGACAGGGTGTTCCGGACAAGAGAGACACGGAACTGGATGTCGCGATGCGATTCGAGCACCCGACGGGTCATCTTGTTGAGGCCCTTGAGCAACAAAGCTGGGTCCGGCTCCACAGCGCCGACTTCTTTGGCACGACGGCGCCATCTCATCCATTTGCGGATCGCTCCAGGTGCTTCTTGAACTGAAGTGATTTCTGCCGGGTCCTCCAAGCTTTTGAGCAGGGTCTGTTTCTCTGCTACACCACCTGGTGAGTAAGTTGTGAACAAGTATGTGAGCACACCAAAAACATCCATTCTTCTCGCTGCCACCAGTTCTTCGCAACAAGATTCTGGGATGGCCTTCATGATCATAGTTGAAACCCGCCTTTCCAATCGCTGCCAACGAGGTTGTTGTAGAGAAGCAGGGGCAGCAAAGCCATGATTCAGTCGATCAAGGGGGCTCAATGAAACATGCCGCTGATACCAAGCTTCCACCTCCTGTGTCATGATTTCCCACCACTCTTGAGAAGAGGTGGTGAGGTCAGAGATGATGGGATTCAAGAGCAACATCCAATCACCAAGTTCAAGTGGCCCAGTCCCAGACGTCCAAGGCATCAGATCGGGCAAATCTGGAGCACCCGAGCGAACCACCTCCACTCCCATCACCGCTCCTTCATCATTCTTTCCATCGCTGATCTTCTGCTGCAGGTCTCTCATCGACTGCATCATCAGGAACATGAATTCCATAGTCTTTGAGTTGAAGTCTTCTTCTCGACTTCTTTCTTGTTGGCCTCTGGGCCCATCCACAAATCTTTCACCTTTCTTCCAAGCTTCGCCACAATCACCATTTGAACTTTCGATCCTTGGGGGTCTCACAGCCTCAGGGAAAACTTGCTGGCCAACTGACCCGTCCTCTTTTGGGGGTCTTGCAGCCTCAGGGAAAACTTGCTGGCCAACTGACCCGTCCTCTTTTGGGAGTCTTGCAACCTCAGGGAAAACTTGCTGGCCAACTGACCCGTCCTCTTTTGGGGGTCTTGCAGCCTCAGGGAAAACTTGCTGGCCAACTGACCCGTCCTCTTTTGGGGGTCTTGCAGCCTCCTTACCGAAAACCTTCTCCAGGTTCATCCCTTGCAAACGAGTGGTTTCTATGCCAAAACTTCGCTCAGCTTGACCACTTCCGTCCTTGGAGATGCTATCTGGAGTTGCAAAACGCGCCTCAGGTTCTGCAGGTTGTGATTCTACAGCTAGAATCCTTTCTTTCAACTTCTGATTCTCATTCAGGACAGAGACCAAAAGTCGTTTGATCTCTTCTCTTTCACTTTGTTCTACAACCATTCTATTCTGCAACATCGCCAACTGCCTATCCCTTTCCAAAAGCTCTTCGTTGAACCTTCTTTCTTCAGATTCCAAGAACCCTGGTCTCGGGATCGACGGCGTGAATCCCGTCCCTGTCATGCCATACAGCCATGGAGTTCGCTGCTGAAGCTGGGTCATTTGCTGGACTTGTTCAGGAGTAAAAAGAGGAGTATAGGCCATTTCAAATTCTGATTTCTTCACATCTTGAGGGGTTGCAGCTAAGCCATTGGGAGAGGAACTGGCGAAGCCTCTCACACTAGGATCTTGAACCCTTTCTTCCCCTTCTAAACCCTGGTTTCCACCCTCTCCTGCCCTCTTCTCTTCACTTTGCCTTGCCGTCAAAGCTGGAGTCGGCCTTTCTGATGCCGATGCACTCTTCGAAAAGCTCTGAGGTGGCTGTGAAGGCGGCGGAGTTGCTGGAACTGCTGGACGGAGGGAGACAGGCTGACCCTGTGGTTGGTCAGGAGTGGCACTACTCAAAACCAAAACACCTTCACCTTTCTTCGCCTCATCCTCTAAACTACTAGCTGCTTCATCCCTTTCTTCTATCCTTCCATCTTCTATGGCCTCTTCACCCCTTTGTTTACTTTCTTCTTCCATTCGTTTTTGGGCTAACTGCATCTCCTGCATCCCTTGTTCCATTTCCCTTTGGGTAGCCCTTCTTCGGATGTCCATAGCGCTGGAGCCTCAGGGTCTTGGGCTCATAACCTGGCGATGATATCGTCCAAGCTATGACCCGTGCAGCGCAGCAGCTCCTCAGGTTTTTCTACCTTCTGCTCGATTGGGGATTGATCCAAAGGGCAGCTATTGATAATGTGGCCCTTCGCAAAATGAAATGCACAAAAATTGAATGTCAAATGAAATGCTGACATGTGAAGTGCAACTGATATGAAATGCAGCATATGTAATATATAAATATGATTATATATAATATCATAATATATATATATATGATATCATAATATATATATAAATATGATATATCTATATAGCATATATATATAGCATATATATATATAGCATATATGCATATAGATGGGATGTATATGCTCTATGTTTGGGATGTTTTTGGGGATGTGTAACAATTATATATATATAAATGAAATATGTGGCTGATGTATGCAATATCTAGGTTTTATACATATGGCATATATTACTGGGTATTTCTTTGATCGCCCAATTACACAGGGAGTGTAGCAATGAAGAATATCCCAGTTGGATTCATGGGATAAATGCGAAAACACCACACGCGTGACCTTTATCTACGTCCATCCAGTTATGTATGGAACATCCTTAGTTAGATTGATGATGATTGATGGGCTGTACATTGTGAACAAAACAACATATACTTAGTGATAGAGATGAAGGCCCAAGAAAGCCATTGTGGGCAAGTTATTATCCCTCAGAAACAAGGGATGATCCCTCAGAGTTGGCAACTCGTATGCGCCAACTCAAACCCCCACTCACTCTCGGCTATCTGTAGGAGCTGAAACCATCCATTCTTTGGGGGTCACTACTGTTGACCCCTTTACGTTGTTGCGTGGGGGGTATGCATCTCCATGATGTGTGTGCATGTATATATATATACACATACACGACAACATATATACACATACTATACAGTACATATTTCGTCACGAAGCTTACCACATAAAATATGCCTCGTCTGCACCCCAACACCCATTCACAACCATTCGATACGGATTTGACAACGAGTTGGTTCACAGTTAGTTTCGGCCAACCAACATGGATTACCTTATTATGGGCACACAGAGTGGATCGTTTTCACTATCAAAGCGGCCACTTTTTTGGGACCTGATCATTTCATAATAGCGGTTAACACAAAGCATACTAAACTGATCTAAGCTACTTGTATTATCTATATACATCCAAATTATAGCAAAAGAAGCACCTTGCTCTTTGGCGCGCAGAAGAGCTTCGCTGGTGCTCCATACCATTTTGCCTGACATCTGCAAAACGTTCATGTGGAAACATGGCAAACCATTTGGGTGTGTATGAGCATATTATAATTGAATATAGAATATGTATATATATATATATAATACACATATATGCTATATATGGTATGTACAATATATATATATATATGTACGTATGTTCATATATTCTACGTTATAGACATACATAAAAGTAGTAACCACCCAAAATAGTCAGAACATGAATTAACCTCTATATCCTCGTGACTTTGTGGGGTTCACATTCTGCTTCTTCGGTGGCTGCTACATAGATGTATATACATATATATACATATATGTATACATATATAATATATATGCATATATATATATGTATATTATATATATATATGTATATTATATATATATGTATATTATATATAATATGATATAATATGTGGATTACGAGCCACTTCCTAATTGGAATGCGGGATGGTCGGTATCGCGCGCGGCACTAAAATGACCAGGCCGATGGTAATTGTTTTCTACTCATTGGACTCAACAGATACCTTCGACTCAAAATAAGAGAAAAACAAGGTAACACATGGTAAAACCATGTAAAACCCTACTATGTATGGATCTGGGTGTCAATGGGGTACCACCCAATTTCCAAAGGGTTCAGCACCATGTGTTCCTATTTTGACCGAGATAGCCCATTATGACTATGAATGACTGTGACTATGACTATTATGATGATATTCATGGTTGTCATTAACACCATTATTACCATGAAATACCATGAATATCACTCGTCACTAGTCTCATTCGCAGTGTAATAACTCATAATCCCATCTCCATGTGAGACTCGGCCTGGGAACAGCGCCACATTGCAGGACCGTTTCGTTTTTTTTTGCGCGGGGCGTACATTTGAAAGCTGTAGCTGCTCCCCTACTCGCAGGATCTGTCTCAAATTTTTCCGAATCTCACAGTTAAAGGTAACATAAGGTAACCAGTCACTTTGAGTAAGACCTGAAAATTTGAATAACTTTGGTTGTGTATTTGTCGATTGCTTTAGTCATTTAAGAATTATTAAAAAGCTGAAAACCAATGAGTTTCAAGGGCCACAAGCAACTTGATCATGCCAGCTGTTTTGAGACACTCCCAAGGTGTTAAGGCGCTTCCTTAACACCCTCCAAACGGCGCGGCTTGCCCGGCTTGCTATATCCTGCAGTCCAGAGATGACTCTCGGACTTCTTCTCCTCAATGCTATCCCAGGCACTGTGGAGAAAAATAAACCAATGGTACAGAGATAGGTTGTGAGGGATGCAGGGTGGACAGAATGATACATCTTAGTACATCTTAGTACAGCTTGAAACGACATGCCAAGCTCCTGTCACGCTTTGATGGAAGGATATGTCGGAATCTGTTGGCAAAAGACATGCGCTTGTCTGAAAATGCGGTATCACCTATTATCATGTTTGATTTATACACATGGCATATCCCCTTGCCACTTGAGAAGGTAGATATAACCCCATTTTCAGACCACAACCCACATCATTCTCAGTGGCCCCACTAGTGGCCCACTAGTCTACAGTACGTGTCTTCAAATCAACCGCCGGTGCACGATTCTTCAATTCTTCACCATCTCTGCGAGCGAAGTCTTTATGATCCATTCCGCAACTGGAGTAAACTGAGTAAACCAGTTTTTTGTGGGGTTCCGTTTCGTACCATCTTGCAAGATTATCAGATTACCTCTTACTCTTGCTTGTAAAAAGGGTACAAACATACGGGGTACCACCCTCAATCTTATCACCCTCAATCTTATCAACATTTAAGGGTATCAACTATATGGATACTCACAATCATGATAATCATGTTTCATCTATGCATGCACACACTACTTCTGCAAATCATGTGTGACTTTGTCCAAAAAATCGGGCACCCCCTTCCATCCAGTGGTTCATCACATTCTTCCTCCATTTTCCCACAAAATCACGCGTAGTTCGTGGGTAAATCCCCAATTGACAAACCCCTTGAGGTATCCAAACCGAGAAGTCGTCAACGCCCAGGAGCCGGCGCAGCACAACCCAGCCGTAGCCGCACGAAGCGCAAGAGAAGTTCGATGGATTCTTTGGCGTAAAGAACGATGGAGATGGTCATGATCAAAACGGAGGCGAACAACTGGGGTTTGAACTGGTTCCAACCTGGTGTGGATTGAAGGTCAATTGATATCATTAAAATCTGCCAAACGTAGCATATTTCGGAAAACATCTAGTGTTGTGCATAAAACAATAGATATGGGATATTATGGGATTCTCTCCTCTAAAGCTTCATAGAAGCAAAATCTGGCATGAAAACAATTGGGACTCTATGTCCAGGGTCACGACGAAGTTAGTTGGTTAACATATGAGCAGTTGTTTTTAGAAGCCAACAGCATGCTAACAACAATCATGGGATATGTTGTTTACTACCGTCTAGATCTGTATCGATTGGTTCCACACCTTTGGCTGAGGGAGAGACTCGGAGCCGCTGGCAGCGACCCCGATAAGGTTACCCTTTTCAAACTCCACGATCATTGTGGATATGGTATGATCTGATATGGAAAACATAACACAACATAATCTAATAAAATAAAATATAATATAATATATAATATATTGTAAAATATAATATAGTATAACATAATATAATAATATATCGGATAATAAAATAGATAATATATTGCATAATAATATAATATAATATAGTATAATATAATATAATATAATATAATATGATATGATATACATATAAACATATTTCATAATATATATATAGTTACTATAATTACATATATATACATATATTATAAATAATATATATATCATATATAAATTATATTCATATATATATAGTATCATATAGATTGTATATACATATACATATATATATATATATATCATATATAAATTATATACATATATAGTCTATCTACCAGCCCCCGTAGATATTAGTGTCTTATTTTATTTCGATGGTTTTTCTCGTCCCATGTTCCCCGCCAAGGCACCAAGAAAGCAATAGGCCACATAGAGGCTGGGCGCACATGCCGCTTTGCAGACAAACTTTGCGATCGCGCTCAGGCGTGTCAAGATCGCCACAGACAACCATCCATTGCCTCGCTCCGGGCAAGCGAGTTTTCGGGACCGAACAGGCACTTGACACTTGACGTACGTCAAAAGAAGGACACCAACATTGAAACTGGCAATTGAAGTTCGAGAAACAGCGACTTGCCAGGTGCCGATACTGCAACTTCTTTCAATCCCTGAAATCCGGGCAGTTAGTTGGTGAAATCCCCAATGATGTGTCCATGTATTTTCATTTGATGAATCCCAACTGATGAATCAATGTAACCATCTGCAACCCATCAAATCGTTGGCTCCAGCTCAGCTTAAAATCAGTGGTGATGGTGGTGCAATATGTGTTAATCCTGCAAAGTGACACCTGTTCTGGGTCCATATCCCCTTAAAACGGATAGCTCACACAAAATCAAGAAACAAATTTTCTGAGAATCATCAATTGAGCCATTAAAATAAACTGGTTGATTGGTTAATATGTCAATACAGGGACCTCTGCTACTTTTTGTTTTTGGGTATTCTGATAACCCATAGTAGGTAAATCTATCAACCAACAAGTATTTCATGAGATGGCATAGGGCTCGTTTTTATGGCTCAATGAAGTCATAGCCGCTCCGAAAAAAAATCATCCACTAAAATCATCTGCAGCCCAGCAGC